TCTCATCAGTTCGGTTCAGCTATAGTTCACAAGCATAAATCGCGCGGAGTCAGGCACAGAGTCAATATCAAAACTTCTAAAAACTGGGATGGTACCGGGAGCCTGTGAAGCTGCAACTGCTCTGAGCGCGGCCATCTTGGATGAGCGGCGCAATTCTAGAACAATCATTGATCTACCACCTAGGGTGTCCTGGTGCCAAATGCACTGATGGACACCCTTATGTTTGTGATGGAAAAACTATGACTAGAACAGAACACTACTCTGGCTCATATCAGAGAGGCTGTTCCTCCTAGTCACACCCCTACAGGTCACACCCCTCCAGGTCACAACGTCGTTACCCACAGTAATAATAACACCCACACTAATAATAATCCATCCATTATCTTTTACCCGCTTCTTCCATTTTGGGTCACGGTGGTTCGCCAGTGCCCATGTCCAGCAATCACTGTGCGAGGGGTGGGATACACCCTGGACGGGTCACAAGTCCATCACAAGGCCACATAGAGACAAACAAGACAAACAACCATTCACTCTCTTACTCTCACCTAGTGACAATTTAGAGTTAACAATCAGTGTAACATGCATGTTAGAGAAAACCCACGCATGCACTGAGGGAACATGCAAACTCCACCCAGAAAGGCCCCAGGAGGGAATTAAACCAGGGTAACCTGCTCGCTGAGAGGCAGCAGCTCTACCAGTTGCGCCACCGTGCTGCCTAATAATAAGGATGATGATGATAATAATAATGTTATTATTATTAGGGGTAGTAATAGTAGATTGAAAATTATTTAATGATTTTTAAAAAATTACTCTGTATTTATGAAATAATCAATTTTGTCATATCTAAACTTTTAATTCAACTTTAAACTTTTAATTTGCTACTTCAGCTTGTTAAGAATTCAGAAAAATAAAATACTTCTGCTATCAATTAAGCAATAAAATAGTTCTTCAACCTTAACAGATAAAAAAAAAAATCATTCAACTCTGCATTTCTGTGACATTTTTGTAGAAAATGTTTGTTTTTGATCTTTCCTGAGAGTTGTGGTATGCTAAGGCTAGGTTAGCTTCAGTTAGCTTCAGAGCTCCACTACAGTCCCTTTTTTAATAAAGGGTTCTCACTTTTTCGAGCTACTTGACAGATATGTGACATAGGTACTGTGTTGTAGATGGTTTAATCAGTCAGTGACATGAGACGTTAATTTTCTTTGACCCATCAAAATGAATGTGGTTATTTATTAACAGAATCAAAATTTAACATCAAAACACTGTACACTTGATTATACTGGTCTGGCTCTGATCAATAAAACTTGGCACGTTTTACTTAATAAAAACAACAGATATTTCTGAAGATATCTGGATTAATTACTAGCAAGAAAGAAGTTTAAAGATGGGAAATGAAGGAGTTTAAATGGAGAGAAAAGATGGATGAGGGAAAGTGTGTTGACGAGGAATGGCACCCTTCATTCGACCCCAGCTCAGCCCTGGTACACTAGGTAGTGAAGCGACTCGTTACCTTTGCAGAACTGATAGGTCAGCTCCGGTACGGAGTTCCATTTCAACGCTACCTTTCAGCGTCTCCTTAGGATGGCTGAGAATCGTCCGAAGTAGTGACGGTACTCCGTTCAACAACACGCTCACCTCCCGGGTGGACTCACATGAGCTGTGAGTCCGTCAGAGGTTCCACTCAGATGTGGAAGACTCCATCATCCTAACTAGACTCGGAAGAACTCCTAGGAACGCCAGCCGAACTCCATCAGAACCAGAAGAAGTCACGGAACCAACCAACTCATTCCAGAACTGAACTTCAGAACTTTCAGAACTAACTGGAACTAGGAAGTGTCGACTTTTAAAGAGTTCTGCTTCCGGTCACTTTTGGGAAGTCCTGATTGGTTGAAGGAACCAATGGTTTTAGTGACGTCAGAGGGTCATTACCAATCAAGAAAACATCAGAAATGTTTAGGAACGGTTAGTTACAGACGAGAAAATATTTTGGAGAAATGACAGACTTACAGGTGCCAGTTTTCTTGTTTCTGTCTGAGGTTTAAAAACACGACAGTTCATTTCAATAAACTCATTTTTGAATGTCTCCGACTTTTGACCGACATCACCCTTTCTCATTTCAGACAGAAGATCAAAAATGCATAATTACTTTGTAACATAGACATTTAACTTGATTTCTACTTTGAATGAGGATTTTAAAAAATCATTAATACTGTTTCACAGTTGATTTAAAATGAGTGGATCACTTCAACATTTAAAAATGGTATGAACTAAACACACTTTTGATTATCAAGATATTGTAAAATAGTAATGATAATATGAAAAAGAGAGTGTTCTTTCAATTGATTAGTTCAGGATACAATTAGAAAGCCTCTGGATGAGCTAATTTGTATTTCTGGATTCAAATCAATGAAATAACAGTTCCTGTCCCATGAAGGTCTTCAGAGGCAGGTTTGACCGGAGGCCTAGTTCACTACAGTCCCCCCTTTGGAAATCATCGTCTGTCCATGGGGATGAATTCCAACATGAACTTACGCCTCCGAATGTCCTTGAGCTTGATGTAATCCAGCAAGAGGAAAACAAAAGTCAAAGAAGGTAATCCCACAACGGTTTAGGTAATTCCACAATGTTGTTGGTAATTCCATTGTAGCAATGCTTTAACCCCTTGGAAACAAAGTCTGTAATCCATTGGAAAAAGTCATATAATCCACAACGATAAATCCACAACGATTGGAGATGTTGATTGATCAGCATGCAGAGGGGTTCCCTTGATTGAACTGCAGAGGCGACCACTGGATGAAGATTGGAGACCCACGTTGGAGTTGTAGGTCCCTTCAGCGAAGGTTGCTGCTGATGGTTCCCAGTGGGTGCCATTCTGGTTCTATGTGTTATGCATTTATGTGGTTTTAGTTGGGCTTATGAGTGGGATGTTACATAAGACCTTAACCTATATGCACCTGGTGTGTAAGCTATCATGGTTTAGATCAGCTAAAGTTACCAGTTTAAAGGGTGGGTCATGCTGAAAAATTATCATATCGGGATTTATACCTATAGAAGGGCATTTCAAACTATTTTTCCATTCCTAACTTGGTTTAAGTTAGATTTACATGGCAAAATATTGTTTGGTTCAATTGTCTGTTGTCCTTTTAGACAAACGACATGAGGTTTGGTTTTTTGGTTTTCCCCTAAATGCTTTGGAGTCTATGGCGAGACTCAACTGAAGGATTAGCTAG